TCCTTTTCATCTTCTTTTAACAGCGAGATTTATTGCAGTCAATGAGAAAAACTAAACTTCCATGCAAAAAAACAAATTTTTTTCTTTCTGTACTATCAGATCGACTGTTGAAAAAATTTTATAAGAAAAAGTAAAAAACAACTAAAATCATCAAAAAAAATTTTTTTTTCGCTTTTGAAAAAATGATATTTAATCCACGAAAAAAAAGAACTTTAAATGAAAAAAAAGGGAAAAAAAAAAGAAATTAAAAATAGAGTTTTTGGAGACGGATAAACCAATTTTTCTTTTCTCCTTTTTCCCCACTTTTATTAATTTTCAGCATAAATTTCAGCATTTGAACGAAAAACCGGGCGAGAGCAGACTTGCCGCTTCAGCTCCTGTTTCCAAGCCGCTTTCCCCATGGGTCTCGGCCATCCCGCAGCACTCAGCTTCCCACCCACCCCCCTTAACTAACGTTTATATGTCTTTATCGGTTCCATGCTTTTTGGCTTTCACAAAACTGATACAGCTCTATAGCAGCAGTTCTGTTTACTTTTTCGTTTTTTTTGGTTAAACAGAATTTTTTTTGCCAGAAAAGCTGTTTCATTCAAAGAAAAGAATTTTTGTATCTTTTCGTTTCTAATATTCTCATTACCCTGATATGATGCATTGCTAGATCAAATATAGTTTAGTTTCTGTTTCCGCTTTCTAGAACACGATAAGTAGTGCAGGAAGTAATAGATAATAAACAATAAATGTTTTTTGATTTATTTTATTTGCAGAAAATTTTAACACTTCTTAAGACCCTCAGTTTACACGCTTAAATGACTTTGTATCTTCTCTCAATCTACAGTTACAGTCATTTTTCGCTACAAACCCAAAAATTATTGACCAAAAACGCACTTTTTTCCACAGATTCTTTTCGTTCTTTAGTAAGATTATTGAAAAGTTTATGATATATTATTATCTCAACAAAAGAAAAAAAACAAAGAAATTAATAGCGAAAAAAACTGTTGACGTTGATAGACATAACTACAAGGCCGCGATGGTCTCCATTTAAAGCTTGGCCATAAATCAGTCGAACACTTTGCAATCACTATCCGATCACTTGACGTCTTTCAGTTCACCCCCAACTAGTCACAAAAATAGAAAAGTCTGAAGAAAAAGAAACAGTTTAACAAATACTTAGCCTCTAACAAAAAAACAACTTTATTAGTTTAAAATTTAAAAAAAAAAATAAATTGGGTTTTCCCAATAAAGTGTTGGAAAAATATAATGTCTAATTTGCCATTATTTTGCACAATGTTACAGTCGCGTAGTTCGTGTTTTCGTCAATCACCAACAGAACATTTTTTTCTTCCAACACATTTAAAACCTTTTTCTTGCCTACAGATAATGGTAGTTTTCTTAAGACTTTAAAATTGCGACAGCAGTCATACTCAAAAGGAAAAAAAGAGAAACAAGAGAATTAAGTGGCCAGTGATCAAAACTTTTAAAGTTGTAGAAAAACACTAAAGACTAAAACTGCTTGAAATATTATATTTAAAAACTGTAAACCCATAAGCGATTGAAATAAAAGCACCATATTATGTTCCTTAAAAAAAATTGCTCTTTTTTGCCGTTCTCTCCTGTTTTCGCCAAAAAAAAAAAAAAAAAAAAATTTTGGTTGTGATGTTCTAAATAAAATGGAAAAAAAACCACAACTTTTTCGTCTTCTCTTTCTTCATTGCTCTCTTTCCTTTTTCCTTCTGCTCTTTCTCGTCTTTTTCCTCTGAAAAAAAAAAAAAAAAAAAAAAGAATGCCTCATGTGAAGAACCAACAGAACTAAAAGTATGTCGATATGAGCTGCCGAATTCACACAAAGCTGTTGAACGCAAGCCGCAACATACACCAAACAAATATGGGCCAAGTTCGCTTAAACAACGGCATACGGTAACAGACTAATAACAATCTCAGTCAGTAAAAATTTTCTTTTCAAGACCATCTATTAGCAAAACGCTATCAGTTAAGTAAAAAAATTTTTGAGTTTTTTAGTTATTTTTCAAAAATTTTTTATTCTTTCCTCATTACTTCTTCTACAAATTATTTCATCAAATAACAAAAAAAAAAAATTTTTTTTCTCTTGTATTTTAAAAAGTATTAATTATACAGATGCCTAACTTCAAAATAACAAAAAACTTTGGTTTTAAATAATCACTGTAATAAATAGAGCACAAAAAAATAAATGAATAAATGAAAGATATAAATAAAAATAAAAACAAAAAAAAAAAAAAGAAAGAATATTACTGACAAATTAACCTAAGAAATAAAAAAGAATTGTGATCAGTTTATGTGTATTTGATTAAAAGCAATGAACGAGCATAATAGCTGCAGCAGCAGTAATAGCAACAGCAACAGCAGCAGCAGCAGCGGTGGTGGTGGTGGTGGCGGCGGCAAAGGCAACAGCAGCAATAGCAGTATTTGCACAAATCAGAATAACCTATAAAAGTATGCAATAAATTTAAGTGATCGTTGTCATTAGTGCAACAAATTTTGAAGTAAATCTTTTCTCTTCCGTTACAAATTTTAATCACTAATACTTATTCGCCTTTATATATTTCTCAACAAAATTGCTGTAGATAGCTGGCTCGCTGACTTAGCGATGACCTCAGGTTTAGGTTATTCACTGTTTAGTAGACAGCTAAATAGCGGTGTAAGAAGTTTTTATTCCAAATTTTTATCACCAGTAGCCTTTGTCATCCGCTTGTACTCAGCAGTACTCATCTCTTGCTCAGCAAAACATTTTAAAAAGAATTAATTTAAAAAAAAAACATTACAGGAAAAAGCTATATTTTTTCCATGCTCTTCACTTAAAAAATGTTCAGGTAAACAGTGCTGCAATAACTGTTCTATGCTTCTTTTCCTTTCGTCTTTTAATAACAAAGCAATACACACTTCCAGAAAACGAAGTGACTAATAAAACGAATATTTCAGTAGTTGAATTGAGATTTTTAACACATCTATTCATCCTCTGGTCTCCGTTTTTTAGCCCCTTACCCGCCCCTTTCAGAAAAGCAAAAGCATAAAAAAAAAAA